AAAAAACTTGCAAAAATAAACGGAAACTAAATAAAATAGAGCAAAAAACAAATGCTAAACAGACAATGGCTTAGGCGGGCAAATGGTGGAAAGCCCCAGCGAAAGCAATCAAAAATCAATTTATTGATTACACGACAAATATATCAAGCATAATATATATGTATGCTGGCCCGAAAGGCTTGACCATGAAAATTCAAATGTATAATGCATAGAGCTCTTAATATGGCATATGATTTAAATTAAGCCGAGTGGTGCGGGCCGAGTTGGGTGGGTGGTTTGTTAGCTGGGTCGTGGGTTGGTTGGTTGTCTTTACCTGGCGCTCGACATAGCTGAACGCTTCTCCTCCTGCTGGCCTGCGTTTGTGTTGTAGCTGCTTTTTGGCTATGGGTTACGTTAGTTGGCTAACTGCCAGCCCGAAGCTCAGTGCTTGGACTCGAGTTGTTGTTGTCATTTAATGCTAAATGCACAACAATTTCGCACAGTGCATTATAATCTTTGCTTAACTATTGTTATTGAACGTTTTTGTGTGATTGAGACTTTACGAGCGCTTTGTGTCACTGGCCGCCTGGCATTGCCTTTAATTAGCCACGTCGACGTGACGCGTTACAAGCAGCCCGTACTGTGGGCCAAATACGTTGCCAACTATTTCGCTATGTTCCGCACTCGCAAGAAAAACAGCGTAACGTTCACTTAAATTGGCCGCAAATGACTGAATGCTCAATTGAAGCTTTTCCTTTGCCATGAAAAACGAAAGCTTTTCCTGACAGGGAGATAGTGAGACAGAGAGAGGCAGGGAGAGAGAAAATGAGTGAGTGAGAGCATGGGAGAATTTTGTTGTGACTCCTGCGCACTGGCGATTGTTTACGTTTGCTTGAACAGTTGATTGCACCGGCCGCGGTCGGCTCTCTGCTTCTTGCTCTTTGATGGCAACGAGTGGTTGCATTGGACAGGTAATAGAATTTATTACTCTTGACGTTGCTCAAGTGGGTGACGAGTGTCATTTATTTTGAGCACAAATGTGCGCGCCTTTTCGCTGAGAGTCTTTTATTTGCCAACACATCGAAATATTCGAGCAGTAAATTTGATGAGAGAAAAATCTGGTATATCATTTTAATAATTCTTTTCGTTCGCCAGAATGAAAAAAGTGTAATTAACAAATATGTTAAAACTTTTTTGCAGCTCTCTTATATAAAACAGAACCGGATTTTACGCTGAAAATTTAATTTAATTATATTAATAATTTATACTTATTTAAATCTAAAATTCCGCAGTCTGATTTAAAAATAAGTCTGACTATATATATATAGTGAACTATTTATATCAGATGCACATTAATTATTGATTAAAACATATCAGAGATACGATTCAAAACAAGAAGCTAACTAAACCTATAGTTGTTGCTGCTTTGCCTATCAAAACTCGTTCATTCAGCTTCAACCGGTCCAATCTATTGCGTAGAATAAAATAAGAAATACAACTACAAATATCTAATATAATGCACCAAGTTTCATTACCATAAATTTGTTAGAATCCAAATACTAGTAGATAAGGATGGAGAAGAGAAAAAAAGAGGGAGACATAGAATGAGACATAGCAGACATCTCCAATTGGAATTGTTGTGCAAATTGAATTTATGACTTTGATGATAACTGAATTTGGTATAATATTTATTAAAATATAACAACAATAATTATGTAAATATTAATATCTTTCTAATCCAGTGATGTGGTATACCATACTCTCTATATGTACATGTAAATTTCATTGTATATTTCGATTGACTATGACAATTCATAATTATTTTTATAATTAAAGCTGTTTACTTTTAATATATATTGTACTTCGTCCATAATCTTTGTACTATTTACTTGACTACTTGATATCGATATTCTAACTGCCATTGATTCATCTAAAAATATCACTTATTTCATTTGGGCTGACATCAATAATCTGGAATGAGCAAATCAATAGCAGATGCTCACGAAGCGACTGACGCCCACGCGCTGTGCTAAAAACCAATCTAAACATAAGACAGACCCAGAAAAAAATTATAGACAAAATATGCTAATCCCAGACATATAAAAAAGAATGTAATTTAAGAATTAAAGGTGGTTCTATTTGAAATGAGTTACGATTCAAGAACTGGATTTTCCTGCTACGTTAAAGTCTAACCAGTTCCAGATAGGTGGTCGACTAATGCTTATATTATGTACTCTTAAATTTAAAAAAATGTTAAACGCAACACTTTTGTATGCAGTAATTGATTATTGTCCCATATAAAATGAAAATAAAATAAAATTATTATTATGATACATTTGTCAAAAGTGCACGAAAAAACAACAAAAATAACCACAAAGTTTAAAAACTTTGGACTTGGCGCATTTATAACTTTCAGCTGAGCTTTCGGTTTTAGAGGCTGCGGTCACTTAGCACTCATCAAAGCAACGACTCCAGCGATCGACCTTCCATCCAAGTTTAGAGTTATTTTTATTTATTTTTTGTTAGTTACCTGTGAGATATGTGGGCATTACCATATTGTTTATAGCTTAGCTTACCGTTGTCTCTATATGAAATACTGTTTATTTTTCTCTATTTTTTTTTTCTCGTTGATATCTCGCAGCCTCCATTTGCGCATTTGGCCTTATTACTTATGATTTGGTTACTAATTAAATAAAAGCACATTTAATGTGCAGATGTCTTAAGACTTTGTTAAGGTTTTTTAAGTGCACTTTAAGTAGAGCTTACGCCTAATGTTTTCGGCCGTTATTAATACTTTGAGCTACCGGCGATTTCATCAATATTCACTAAATGTCTACTTTGACATAACATATTTGGAATATTGCATCATCAAATACAGCCAGCAGACAGTTAAAAAAAAAAATAATAATAATAATAAAAATAATTTAGCAATTCACAAATTGCTAAAATTAAAATGAAAATTAAAAATATATACAAATATTTATATTTAAAACATAGAGGACTGGACTAAATTGTTATTATTCAAATAAAGTAGTATATATACACATTTGTTATTCAATTTTTTTTTATATTTGTTGAAAGTAAATATGATTTAATATACATTTAGTAAACAAACCAAAAAAAAACGCGAAACAAATAATGTTACATAATTCCGATAATTTAACGCAAGTCATAAGCTCATCAAATTCTTGTATATAGTTTACATATTTAACTTTGCACGTGGGTACCGCATTCACATCTATATCTAAATTAATACGATTATCTATAATTTGCATAATTATATATGGAAGAAGATCTGTGTTGGGCCTATTCAGACGGCGCCCTATAGCTGAGTTTCTTATTAGCAGCTCGATAGCCTCAACGATATTGAAGCTAAAATTTGTTTTGTTTTATTTTTTCCAGATTTTGACGGGTGTGCAGGGCCTCAAATCGATAAGGCCTTAAAGAAAAGCCATAATTAAGATTCAATGTCGCTTGCATCACACTTTTAGAGTTAGCATGCCGTAAAGTAGGTCAATTTCAGCGGAAGCTCATGATAATCTGGTACCGGAAAATATTCATCTACTAACTCTACGATCTAAACAAAGATACTACCTAAAATGGTGTTGACATTTTTAGTTTGCTTTATCAACTTAATAAAAGCATGATAAATTGTATTTGACAACATGAAACTTTGGAATTCCAAAATTGTGGATAAGGTGAACAAAGAATGATATATTGATTAATATTGCGATATTAATTTAATAGACATATTTTTGTGTTTGACTTGAACAATATCAAAGTTTTACATAAATTTATACTTCAAGAGAATGAATAAAAATATAGAAAATTATTTAATATTCAGAAATTTTTATTCATACCAATTTTTTTTCTTTTTTATATTTATCAATGTTTTTATTTATTTTTTATATTTAGAAAATATCAATTAAAAATTAACAATTCACATATTGTAATTAACACAATTGCGGAAAAAAAAAACTTTGAATACAATAAAAGACTAACTTGATTTTGACCTTGAAAGAGACAAAAAAAGCGTTAAGAAATCTTTAAAAAAATGTTTGGCAACAATTAGTAAGCTTATAATTATAAACAATCCATACGGGCATCATAAAGCGTCTACGTGCTACGTGCTACGTTCTATCTGAAGTCGCCAATCAAAAATAAACAGCAACAAAATTTCCAAAGAGTAAACGTCAGAGTCTGAGCCGAGTCTGGTCGCATATGGCTTAAAACCCGTTCTATGGAGTCTTAGCCGGAAGTTTTCGAACTCCATGCTTCACAAACAAGAATTCTTATAGATATACACATATACATATATTTGTATGTGCGTGTGTGCATACATGCGCGAGTGAGGAAGTGAAATAGGTTAAAGTTCGGTGATTGGCGCCAGTGTTGAATCTTTGACAAATGGCTTCGATCGGCAAATTACGCTAATTTCGTTATGAGGTTCTGGCGGGTTTTGGGCGCCCGTCAAGGTCAGTCAAATGAATCTTATGCCATTTTCAATACGATTAAGTTAAAACAATTTTTTTTTATATGTTTTGTGTGGATTAACATATTTTTAGCGCGCGGTCAACAGGGCACGAGGTTAAATTTTTTATGCAATCTTTAGAAAAAGGAAATACGATATTTAGAGAATGTTGTTTATTTGTTACTAGAGCTCATAAAGCGGAAATTATTAAATAAGTTCGTTAGTTAAATAAGAAAACGCATTTAATTTGACGCTAAATAAATATAGAAATATTTGTAAGACTTCGCTAATTTGCTGATGCGCAATTATTTGAATATATTTGGCGCTTTGCCAACACTGTCAACAGCTGTTAATCGCTTAGAATTCGCATGCGCTCTCTTGCTCCTGCTCACTTTTGCTCACAAATGCCCGCACAAAATAAATAAAAAGACATGAAAAGAACTAACAAACGGAGCCCTTTCATACAGCCTGCTCTCACGCTTGGCAAATGCCGCTTGCTCTCTCTATCTCTCGCTCTCCCTTTTCAGCTGTGTTCTTGTGTTTGACGCATGCACCACAAATGTCAACGAATTGGTCGCAATAGGACGCTGAAAAAGTTAAAAGTAAATATAATCAAATACAAAAGGCAAACATCAAACAAAAGTGAACAGCAACCAGTATAAATAATTAAGTAATAAATTGAAAAGTCGGTTAGTGAGATAAATTGCGTGCTTACAAACGAAGAACGTCGCAGCGCCTTTGCCTGAGAAAATATTGTGAAATCACAGGCAAGTGACATGCCGATATGTAAATTAAGTTCATAATATGTATTGCATAAAATATTTGCAGTTTAGAAGTGCACTCAGACAGTCGCTAAGTTTTTTCTAAGTGTCTCTTGTGTGTATCAAAAGTCGTCTCTCAACATTTATGCAATTCACTATTGCGGCTCGCAATTCCCTCGTCCCTCGTCCCACTAACACACACACTCTCGCACCAACACTCACGCATACAGTTGCAATTTTGCAGTATCATGTATGCAGCTGACCAAATGTAGACGGCCTTTAAATATTTTTGGCGGTTTTTGACCCCAAGCAGCAGCCTGCAAAGACTTGCTAAAACTTCGAATGAAAATAAAAATTCTAAAACACGCACGTTAGCAAATCAAATCACACAAAAAAATTAAATTAAATAAACCCAAAATATGTGACGAAATTCACAAGAATCAGTAGAAAGAAAAGAAAAAAAAAAAAAATCCAAAATATAAATACAAATTTGCATAACATGTTTCTAAATAACATGTAAAATGAAGTAATAGAGCAAGATATATCCTATGATTGCATTGAAGCATATGCAAAAAATATAAATTTTATTTTTAACTCTTTTTAACTCTTTTATTAGATAGAATTAAATTAAATCAAATTAAATTAATTTGCAAATTTTTAATATGTAAATTTGTAGTGGAGTTTTTTCAAAATAATATGCTCCTTTGCTCGTGTGTTGTACAGGGTATAGACATGCAAATATTCTAAAAGCAGATGAGAAAAAAGAGCCCGCATAAAGAAGAGCAGACAATAGAGCGGATAATAACAATGGAATTCAAGGCAATTGCGTAATTTCACTTTCATTGGGCATCTTTCGAGCACGCAGAAATCTCGTTTTACGGCATAAATCAGAATTGAACCAAAGGAAAGTGAAGAAATATACGGAAGGAGGATATGCGATATGTCAGCTGTGAAAGTGTAAATGATGATAAACACGAAAGTAATAATTAAATGATTTAAGTGTTGGAGAGGGCTTAACACTTTTGAGCAATAATCATGAATGTAAGCTTTAAGTGGACTATATAGAGTTTAATGTTTATAAGCAGCAGCACCAGATGCTTAGCAATTAAATGAAAACATGTAGCAATACGGAAAATATATTAATTAGCAATTGACTGAAGTGAACAAATGTAAAAGAAAATTAGATGCTTAAATAAGTGCATGAAAAACCTAATTACTTAGTTACTAATAATTATACCCTGAACCCATTTTCAATGGGAAATCAGGGTATAATGGTTTTGTTGAAATGTATGTAACAGGGAGAAGGAGGCGTGGCAGACCCCGAAAGTATATATATTCTTGATCAGGGTGACGAGCTGAGTTGATTTGGCCCTGTCCGTCTGTCTGTCCGTCTGTCCGTCTGTCCGTCTGTCCGTCTGTCCGTATGTATGAACGCGTCGATTTCAGAAGATATAAGAGCTAGAGACTTCAAATTTTTTTTAAAATGTCCGTAATTACAGCGCGCATATCAAGTTTATCATTAAAAATCGATAACTCATCCCGATCTTTTTTTATCGATAAAAAACCTTATCGAAACCCAGTTATAAAATTATATCTTCTACACCTTTATTGCTAGAGTCTCCAAATTTTTAATGTATGCTTAAATGCAATTTATACAATTTCGGTTTTTGTTAAAATTTACCCCCCACCTCTAAATTCACCCCCTCACCCTCACTTTTGTAAAAAGCGTATTTCAAATACTAGAGACTTGTGCTTTGGCAATTACATGCATATTCATGTTATAATCATAATCTAAAAGTTTCATGAAGATCGTACGTCCATAAAAAAAGTTATTAAACAATTAAGTTCTCATAGTAAGCGCACACTGCAGCCCATGCGTGTTTATGCGTGGTTGCTTGTATGTGTGTGTGTGTGTGTATGCGTTTGTGTCTGTATGCGTGTGTGTGTGTATGTGTGTCTTTATGCGTGTGTGTGTATGTTTACCTGTGTGTGCGTACGTACGTGTGTGTGTGTGTGTGTGCGTGTTTCTTGTGTAAGCTGAAAGTCGCGAAAAAGTATTGAAATATCTATTGCTCCAAGGGTTCAGGGGATCTCGTAGTCGAGCAGTCTCGACTAGAGCTTTCTTACTTGTTGTTTTTGTGTTTTATTTTTATGATTCTCTTACCTTAAGATCGTTCATAGAAAGGTGTAGGAAAATATGAAATTCGTTAAAAAATGAGCTTCAAAGCGCTTTTACTACTAATTAGCGTATTCGTAATGTTTTTATTGCAATTTTCTAACACTTGTTAAAGTTCATGCACAACTCTACCTTTTGAGAAACACACACACCTTATAATTGCATTAAAAGTTTTAATTAATTACCCCAAACTAATGAGTTTGCATAAAACTGAAATACCTTTAGGCGAGCGGCAACTGCAGCTGACTTGTAAATGATTAAAGCTTTTGAGCCAACATAAATAACAATTAATTTGTGTGTACAGTGGGCAATGCACAAGATCTCAACAGCAGAAAATGCTAAGCTTTTATTAAATTACACAAACTGAAGCGAGTTAAGGTAATTTACCATAAAGCGTCAAAAGAACGCAGCTGCCGCCGACTCGAAGCTCCGAGTAAAACTTTTGCTTTTCATGCCAAAGCAAAAACAAAACAAAACAAAACTAACAAAGCAACAGCTGTTGCTGAAGCTTCGTGACGTCACACAGCTCTAAGCTTCAGACAGGCGGTGAACAAACGGCAGCGGCAACGGCAACGACAGCGCCGGCAGCGACAGCGACGTCAACGGCGATATCCAATAGCGCCCCAAAATAAGAAGTCGAAACTCATTCCTTTCGTTCAAATTCGTTTGCTACGCTCACGAGAGCGGACGTGCTGCGCGGAAAATCAGAGCTAAAGGCACAAAACACATATAAAATAAACGCAAAAAAACATAGCTAAGGCAAAACGTAAAAATTTCGTAGTCTCGCCTTGTTGTTATTATTTGTTATTGCCATTGGTATTGTTATTGTTATTGTTATTGTCTTGCTTGCAAGTGGTTCGTTTGCATCAAAGAATAACCGTTTCGCAAAAAAAAAAAATTAAAATAAAATAAAATAAAATACAATACAAAATAAATAAAAATAAAAAATAAAACAAATACAAAATAAATAAAGATAATAATTGTGATTTTCCAACAGAAAATAAATTACTAAAAAGAAACAAAAAATACAGAACAAGTGCAAAAAAAATCGTGTCGCAAAATGGAGAAGAACAATAACAATCTACAGGCGGATATTACACCGTCAGCCAACGGACATGCCCTGCCAAATGGCAATGGTGCGGCGGGGGGCGTGGCTGAGCCGCTCAACTGGAACCAAAGAATATGGAATACCTGGGATGCGTTCGCAGATGTCATGTGGTTCATCATCTGCAGCATAGGCTATATACTGCAGGTAAGTCAATTCGAGCCAATGTCAAAAGGTGTGCAGAAATCTAAAGCCAAATCTATTTTTGTTCACAAATGCCAAACAAATTTTGAATTGTATATGATTTTTGCTATTCTAAATTTGAATTTCTGATGCTTCCGTATGCTCAGCAACAGCTGCGCAGCTTAATTAACATCACATTGTCTACAAAAATTATTTTTTTAATTAACATATATAATATTATTTATAATATTATTATATAATGCAGCTTTTTACTTTAAAAAACCTACTAAGTCAACATAATAAAATCGATAAATTGATTATCTCCTCGAATAAGTCTTGAATGATTTGATGAGTAAATCGGTAAAAAATCGAAAGTAATTTATTATATTCTCTGACTTGGGTTTGCTATTCAAAAAATGCACTTGATAAATGACATCAATTTACGAATTCACCAAATCAGATAAACTCGTTTTTGGGCCACTTATTTTCACTGCCTCAATTCGTGGGCAGAGCTTAAGTGCGCTTGCTCTTGGCTCTTGGCTCTGGCCTCTTGGCTGCTTGTAAAAAATAAAATAAAAAAGTAAATAAATAAAAGTCTGCGTGGTTTATCAATAAGTCTGCAATCTCATCTACCTTTTATGGCTGTCATTATCGGCACGCGCATGATTAATTTTTATTTACGATCTCGTTATACTTATAGCATGCAGATCTCATCCATTGTTTTTGGTTAATTAAGTAATTACGTTTAATTAAATCGATAAATGTTAAGTGAAGCATGCAAACACGTTGTTTCAAGTAGACTTCTATTTTTAGATACTTTGGATTATAGCATAGTTTGCAGCATCAACTTTTTATGTTATATTCGACAATTCCTTATATTTATAATCATTCAAGAATGTAGAGTGAGTATATTGGTTTTGTGCGTTGTCCGTCTGTCGCCTCTATTTAAGCTAGAGATTTGAAATATGAAGCATCGTTCACAAGGGGCGTGGCATATAATATAATATAATATATAACACAATATAATTACTTGCTTATTCTCTCTCTCTCTCTCTCTCTCTCTCTCTCTCTCTCTCAATTATATAATGGACAGCAATCGATTCAAGCTCGAAAAACTTGAATTCCAAGTTATTTTGTACTTGAATCAAGTATGAATTGATGAATAAAATATATGTTAATTTCAAAAATATATGTGAACATATGTGCTAATTGACTATTTAATGGTTATTAGAATTGTTGTGTTTGGAAATTAATGGAAAGGTAGTAATTAATGTACTCCATACAATTGAAAAGAATTAACTTAGCTAAGCAATAACCATTATCATCTCGGTCTTGTTATAATTATATAATATGTTAGCCTGTTCTAAAATGATTTCAGTAAAATGCAAATATTACAACGCAAATATTTATGATAGTTTCTAAAGCTAAAGGAAATGAAATGAATATCTTGTTAATGATATATGTTTTTAATTATTACAGTATAATGTTGAAAAATCAACTTGTATATTGACTGAAACTTGTCTAATTAGACAGCTAAGACGGCGAGCACTTAAGGTGATTGCACATTTTAGATAGGCGGACAGAAAACGTTTTCAAGATTATCAAATGATTTGCTTTTAGCTGACGCCAAAAGGGCTAACAAAATCGGTTAATTGCTGTAAAAGCGCATAATTGAAATTTATGGCTAGTTAACAAAGAATTCGAATATAAGGCTTAAGGGCAAATATTTTGTTTAAAATATTATAATATTATTTTATTTTGTTTGCTTTTTTTGTGGTCAAATTGACACGCTCGGATTTATAAACAAATTTCGCAGCATTACATAAGCAAACAATTTTTGTAGGCTGTTGTTGTTGTTGTTGTTGTTGTGCTACATAATTATATTCATTTCACTTTGGCAACAAAGATAAAACGAAACCTTTTTAGTTTGCGGCGGTTACTCTTATATATCTCTGTGTGCGTGTGTGTTTGTGTGAGAGTCAGTGTGTGTGTGTGAGATATGATCATTAAATGTAGCATGTGTATCTTGTATTTGCCTCGGTCTTATTATGCATGAGTGCCATTAAATTACCGAGGTAACTCTCTTTGCCTGAATGCCTAACTAAGCGACGGATGATGCCAACTGCATGCAGACAGACAAGGGGAAAAAAGACAGAAAGCGTGAGGAAGAGAGTAAGAGACATGGGCTTGGAGGCGTTGCCCATTATAAATGTTGACATTTGCATGCTGAATGCAATATCAACGAGTCATGAACGAGCCAAAACTAATTTGCATGTTCAGATTCAAGATTCGCCCGAGACGCTACTGCGCCGATTAGTCAGCTGTTGTCATTGTTGTTGTTGTTATTATTGTGGTTGTTATTGTTGCAATTGCATACTGATTGACCGTGTTAATAATGGGCTTTGGCACAACAATCGACTAAATTCAGTTAGATATTAGCCTGGTTCATGTCGCTGCATTCTCAAATTCGTTAAGCGCATGTAAAACAAAAGACTTAGGCAACAAACTTGGCCGTTCGAGGGTGTGCTTTTATGGTCACAATCTTTGAAACTGTCTGGTAGGCGCTGGAAATAAGCTTCGGGGAACACTTCCAAAATAAAACCAAAACAAACCAAAGAAAATCCGAAAAAAAACAAAAAATAACATACATTATTCCCAGACGCTGCGACGCGAGCAGCGCTGCTGGCGTTGGCGTCGCTGCTGCGTTTTGGCTTGTTGACCCAGTTCAACTTTTGCATTTTGCCGGCTTTGCAACGCTATGAAGCCTGTTTTTATTAGCTTGGCTAGTTGTGAGTTCGACTGCTGTTGTTGCCACAGCAACACAATTTTTCGCGGGCAACCTGCCCGCCTAACTGTGAAGCGTGTGTGCGTTAGATGCATACATATATATGTGTATACATATATATATGTTTGTGTGCGTACCACAGCAAAGCAAGAGAAGAAATATAAAAGAAGTAAACGCAATTGAAATCGAAAGTGTTGGTCAAACAACAACAACAAAGACAGCAACAACAAAAGCCGTATAACAGCTACTTGGTATTGCATATGTGAGCATAAAGTTAGCTTTTGTTTGAGACTGTGTTTCGTTGTGGAGGCTATTTGAAGCGCAGGCTCATAGCCCATAACGGCCTTGGCTCACTTGTTTGGATTATCTCACATGTGAAGTGGGTTAGGATAGTGTGTCACTCCTCAGATAGGCCAGTAAATGGACGGGTGTGTTTGATGAACTGAGTCATAGCCGCTCTGTGGTTACAGTGAATGAAGAAAACTAAAATATTATATGCCATTGTTTAATATAAAATATAATTTACATGATATTTGTATAAAACATTTTTTTGAGGATATATATTTTATTAGAAATAAATATACTCCCATGCATTCTTCATTTATATTTCACTCTCTCAAAGAATTTATTCTTTATTGCTTAGCAATAATTCAATTAATCATGTGGTTAGAACTAAATTTCATAAGATTTAGGTATATTCATTATATAGTACATATATTTATATAATAAAACACAATTACTTGCGGTCAAGCATTCATTTTCACATTAACTTTACGCATTCCATATCCGCTGACATCGCAGTTTTGCAATTTGCAGCAATCTCAAGCGTACATCAATCGAGCGGTAAATTACACTTCTCCACTTCTTTGAACCAAGATTGCAAAGCATAGAACTTGATTGCCAGATATATATGTAGCTGTACATCAATTGCAGTATACTGGCTGTAAAACAAAAAACAAAGCTAAGCTTTTGGGTGCTAATTTTTGCGTAGCAATAAATAAAAATGGATTTTGAAGGCTGTCAGAGCAGTGACCGACCACCCGCTGCAGCAAGCAGCCAAACCAAATACAACAATAAAAGCAAACAGCTAGCCAAACATACACACACATACATACATTGAAAACAGCTGGCTTGGCGAGTAAACTTTTGAAGGCAACCCAGCTCGATGACGCCTCAGAAACTGCAACGGGCACAACGCGCTGGCGGCATAGAAATCGAATGCGTGTTACGCCTAGATAAATGCATGGCTTGTTAACACATACACTTCATCGAATAAACATATTATAGGCAGAACCTGTTATTGTGAGAATTTTTCTTACTGTTTACTATCAAAACATTTTTTTAATTAATAAAAAATGCAATGTAGTAGTATTTTCGATAACGATTCCATATAATCATATAGTTATTAAATAGATTTTATTTTAAATATTTATTTCAGTTTTTATATATGCTTTATACATTTTATAATATACATATGTAAAAAAATGGATGTACAAAATTCCGACTTAAAGAAACATTTATTAAACATATTTATTAATTTATTTAGTTTTTTCAGTTTTTAAAATCAGTTTATTGATATTTTTGCATTTTTTTTTTTTCTTTATTCACCCTCCACAGATAAAAGGCATTGTAATTGTATAATATATACAAAATTATTATTATTATTATTAAGATTAACAATATTTATAACGACCCAAAAAGCAATCAATATTATTTGGCTATAGAAAAACGCAGAAATAAATTAAAAAGATGCAAATTGAAATGATTAGAAAATGTATGCACATATTGAATTAAAAGCCACTGAATAAATATCAATACGCTTATCGTTTTTTTTTTTTTTTGTAACATCATTAGCGCATTTTGCTCTTTCAGCTAACTTCTCAGATCTATGCCATTGCAATATTCATGTTCAGGTTTATTCGATTTCTTACGCTGTCTTTTAAGCTCTTTCTAGTCAACTTCAGTTTTGTGTAATTTTCGTAAATTTATATTTATTTTTTATATATAGCAAAGCTTTAAAGGTCACTAGTTGCTTGAGTGAGTGTGACAGCGAATGAAAATTGCATCAGTGCTGCGCCAGGCAAGTTCGTGTCTTTTATTTATAAGCTAATAGAAAAGCGCTCAAGCCAAAGTTGAGCTAATTAAAGCAGCTGTCGAGTCGAGTGGCTCGAATGGATTCAACTCGAGTCGAGTTGAGTGAAGTCGAGTCGGTTCGAGTCGTGCGACGAGCATGGCTATGGCTACTGCTGCAACTGCATACATGTGCTTTGTTGTTGGGCAAGACACTTGACTTGAGGCTGACTTGCAGGTTGGCCCGCCGGCTGGCGGTTTCACTTTCAGCTGGCTTAGAATTCACCTGGTCTACGAAGTCGTTTAGATTTTCAATTTTTCGCAATTCTCCCGGACGAAGTAAACAAGTTTCTGGTAGCTCAGTCTAGCATTTGCTTTTAGCCAAGCACAAGCACAAACACAAACACAAGCGCAGCTAACATTTGATTAGCATTCGCTGCAGTGCTGTGGCTTGGCGCTTAACGCCTTTAGAAGTTTGTATTTAGATAAGACGTGACCATATGCCAGCATTCATAATTCAGTTTCGTCTGCGGTTTTGTCGCAAATTTGTTTCTTGTTTTTTTCCGTTTTTTCTTCTTTTGATTGTTTGAATTTGCATAATTGCGCAAGAGTTGTTCACCGCTCATATGTTAATTGTGAACTTTGTGGGGATTCAAAAATTATAAATATTATTCAGTTAGAAACTTTGTGTGCTTAAATGTTGATTCAAGACTAATGAACAGCTAGTGATAATGAGGCAGGCAGAACTTACAACTTCCTGAATCGCTTCTGTAATTGGTAAAGATGCTTTTCTATTATATCTAGAATCTGACAAGAGTTGCTAGTACTTAGAATAGAAGCTGTCAATATGTGTGATAGGCGAAAGTAAATAAACATTTTAATTCAAACAACAACAGCAGCTACTAAAAGGTGTTTGCTAAATAATAATAGCTGCTAGATAAATGAAATCAGTTTTGCAAAAATTATAATAATCAACACAAATAGAAAACTGTCGACATAATTAATGAAGATGAATATTTTGTTAATTTTGTTTTAGAAATACAAATTTCTATATATAGCTAGAATGGTAATCAAGAAAATGTGGTAAAATATATGAAGAAACAAAAAAATGCAGACAGCAAACACAAGAGACAACAAATTATAGCATCATAGAGAAATATTTTTCATTTCTTGTGACTCTTATAATACATATATAGATAGCATAGAAAGACACACTAAAGACAACTTGTCGGGAATTCCCGAGGTAAAACATAAAATCCGCAATATTTTATACTATCCAGTTCCAAGCCATGGCTGGCCCTATAAACTATGCATCTTCTTAATACTAAAATTTAGTATATCACGAATAAATTAAATATGAATTTATAATTTCCAATATTAGAAGTGTTACCTTTTTCTACATAAATAATAAGTAAATCTAATTTAAATTAGCTAAGTCCCAGTAATAGTTATTTAACGGTATTACATTATGTCGGAGAAAAATTATTAAAAAATACCAAAGGGAGTTCGAATCGCCAAAGCAGTGTGCTGGGTATCTTCTAGTCGAGCACTTTTACTTTTTATACCGCATGTAAATTTGTTTTTCATATCTCTTCATCCAAGCTCCACCTTGAGACTGTTCCAATTATATTGAAAATTTATAGTCTACAAATTCCATCAAATCACAGCGCTTAGCTGGCATTAAGAGATCTTTGTCAGTATATAAAGAATAATTTTAAAGATGTCCAACATTGCTCCATTTGTACGTTAATAACGACAACACAGCCATAAGCTCTTGAAAATTTTCCGTTTTTTTTTTTTTTTTTTTTTTTTTTTGTTTTTTACAAAGGTCATTGCGTTTACCTTGACAATCAAATAGACAATCTAACAAACCATAAAAGAGACCAATAAACTCAGACGCAGACCCTACAAGTTCGATGCTGACACAGCTGGTTTTTCGTTTTTACAAAAGACAGATTGTGAAAAATGATTTCCATTTTTTTTTTATATAAGTTTTTTTTTTTTTTTTTTTTTTTTTTTTTTTTGTCAAATGACAAAGCAAATATGGATACGAGCACAGCTATATTAAAGCTCTTGGTATCTGATTGCATTTACATATAGGCAAGTCATGTGTGGACTTTATTAGCTCGAGATCAGGTAGAACAAGCAAATGATTTGCTTTTAGAATGGACTTCCGCACTATTTTATTCACATTTGTTCAGCCTTAGGAATTAATTTTTTGCATAAACTTGAAAGTGTAAAAAGATCAGTTTAATGGGTTGGTCGTTTCGCATATGTTCCATTTGATGGCCCATTAAAATGCTCTTGTAAATATGAATAAAAAATAATATATAAAAAAAGAATAAACAAAAACATATATCTTTCGGCATAAATCGCGGCAGACACATATTTAAGTTATTATCATGTTATGCATAAATTATAATGGGTCACTTCCTGCCCTTGTTCAAGCAGAAGAGCCAAAGACGACGGGAAAAAGCACACGAATTGCATGTTCAATTATGTGACAAAATGTCTGTCAACAAGGCAACAAGTGAAAGAGGCGACTGATCATTATTATCTCATATCATTATATTCATCATAATCATCGCCACCGGACACCAGCTAACATGTTACCCTTAATGAATTTTCGTATTATTTATGGGCAATTTTTTTTTTTATTTTTTATTTTGCTTTATTTTCTTTATTATTTTGGAGCCAAACTACAGCTAACTAAAAGGGGAAGAGTTTATTTGATGAGATATTTCGAATAAGTAGATACCCTATATTGTAGTCAAATTTTATCTGATCTTACATCTTTTTTTTTAATGTATAAATGTAATCAAATATATTTTTATATTAATGCATGATTTTTATTACTTAAAACTTGAATTCTTCATTATAACTGAAGGTACTACAAGACGTTCGCGTTTTGCCTTTCAGTTTTAAAATGTCATTTAATCTTCTGTTAACATAAGCTAAAACCAGAATTAGAACTAAAATGATATACATACTATTTAATTACAAATAAATATATATAATACATTTTTGTTTTTGTTTTTAAAGAAATTATGTTTATATTATTTTACATAATCTTAGTAGTATACAAAAATGTTGTCTTTCAATGAAATATTTTTGATTATAAAAAATAGTAAATTGAGTACATTTTTGAGTAATATTTCTAGTAGAACTTAGCCATATATAGAAAATAAAGATATAAGCCATAAATACATGGCACGGGAGCTCACAAATTAAAGCAAAACAAAAAGTTAATAAAGGATTGAATTTGGTTTGCTCTTAGCTTTAAATATTCTGAATAATGTATGAAGTTAAATAATTTAATTTAAGTAATATATACTTTTTTCATATTCTATTTATAAATCCCCAAACTAAATAGTATCATGATTCAAAGTATCTTTTACTAAACATAGAATTAGATTTTTTTTTAAAATAAACTACTAAACAAATACATTATAAAATCACCTTATTGATTTCACTATTTCGGGCAGTTGCCTAACTATATAATACCCTTTGCTAAGCCGCTTGCAGAGCAACAGCAACAGCAACAACAACACCAACAATGCTGGCCACGTTGCGCCACATTCATTGTTAATGTCAAAATAATTGGACACGCTTGCCAGTGCGGCTGCTGCCGCTGCTGTCGTTGGCCCCTGAGTTGTAGCTGAAGTTGCACCCCAAGCCGGGGCACAGTTGCAGGGCCCAGCGCGACGGCTGCGGGACTGTGAAGCGATGTTGACGTCGCGTGTGGCACGAAAATTTATGGGCCGCCTCTGGTAGTAAGCGAGATGGAAAGTGCCACTGTGTTGCCCCTTAGCTGTTGATGTTTTTGTTGTATCTTATCTTTGTTGTATTATTGTTTCCTCCCGAAAAAATGAGTAAAATGTTATGTTAATGTTGCTGCTGTTGCTGTTGCTGTTGTTGCTGGCAATTTTGTTGCCCGCGCCGTTTGTTATCTTTATGCGACAATGTAGACGTGCGAGTCATATATTATGACAGCTTATTGACACTAAATCAACAGCAGCAGCGTCCAAAGAGTTGAATTGATCTCTTAAAGAAGTTGAAAACATTTCAAGTATTTACCCAGTTTGAGGCGTCAAATTCAGCCCCTATTAACATGCTACCGTCAACTGTCAGACAATTCGCATTGTCGGCGATTTGTTTGCCCATTTATGTTATTTGTCATTGTTGGTTTTGTTGAGGGCACCACCAAAAAAAAGAGCCAGAAATTAACATATGGAACAGCATGTTTGTGCGCTAATATTGGCACACACACTGTCTGACAGCTGGCGGCACACTCGCCAGAAAAGCCTCCAGAATGACGAGGGTTAAAACAAAAGACTTAGGCAACAAACTTGTTGTCACATTTGACATTTAACAGACGCCGGTTCAGTTAAAAGCTGATGGAAATACGGTGTCAAAATGTTTTGGCTAAAAGTTTTTTGTTTTTCCTTGGGCTCACATATAAAACATTGTCAGACAGCGAAAGGTTTTTAAGAGAAACAAAGCGATTTTATATGGCTTACCTATGGTGATTGTAAATTTCCCACAGTTTGTTTTGAATTTGAATTTTAGTTTAATGAAACGCATCAATTTTGTTCATGCTGCAACTTTTGACGCCTTTAATTATATTGCTTCAATTAACTTACTCTGTTTCCTGTATAATTATCAACACCTCTCTTATCGTTTGTTTCCTGCAGGACCTTTATTACATCGCCTTCGGCTATCCCGAAAAGGAACTCAACACGGACATTGCGTTAATCACAGGTGGCGGCAATGGACTCGGCCGTCAGCTTGCCGAGCGACTGGGCAAAATGGGCACCAAAATTATCATCTGGGACATTAATCAAAAGGGTAAAGCAAATAGACAGAAAGAAAAAAGAGCAGTGAGAGGGAGAGAGAAAGAGAGAGAGAGAGAGAGTGAAAGATACTTATGTAATTTTCTGAACTTTTCAGGCATTGCGGAGACCGTTCAGATCGTAGAAGAGGCGGGCGGCTATTGCAAGGGCTATGTGGTGGATATATCAAAGAAAGAGGAGGTCTACAAAGCGGCCGATGTCATCAGAGCAGAAGTTGGTGATGTAAGTATCCAGAGAGTGAAACGGGAAGGGAAGGGACATGTGCACTTGTGGAATGTGCGCGTCAATTGAAGCATAAAACTCTTGTAATTGCCGTTCACAGTTGAGCGCTTAAAATAGTCGACGTAATTGTTTGTTGAGGGGCGTTTAATGGCCAGAACCCTTCTAATAGCTGTGTGGCTGTTGTTCTTGTTGTTTAGAATGAACACATGTAGGCCCAAACACTCTCGACGTGGCCACGCCCCCGAGCAACACATCTTCTGCATATATTTATGTCATAAATTTTGTTTCAAGACGTGAATTTGTATGCATGAGCGCATTTTCAGCGTGCCACAGTCAACCTTGAGAAGTGCTAGAGAGCGAGACAGAAAGACAAAGAAAGAGGTGAGAAAGATAGAGAGAGAGAGAGAGAGAGACAGGGAGGGAAGTGACCACTGGACGGGGCCTTCAAACTGGTTGCCACTTGCGTTGCGTCTGGCAATTAATCACAATGTGGAGCACTGGCTGCCTTTAGCTTTTACCGGGGCGAAATCGCAGCCTGCATTCAAATTAATCGCAACCGGCACGAGCTGCCGTCGCCGTCGAGCACTGCCACAGTGTCACGCCCATTTTGGGATGCACATTAAAAGCGCATAAAAATCACAGGCACTAATTGTGCGACTGCCCCCGAACGCATCTTCACTGCAACGCATAAATTTTATAAGAAACTATACACATACATACATACATATATACAATCTTCAAATTATCCAAGGCGATGTCCAATTGCAACAGGCATGCAATCGTGTCATGGCATTCATTATCACTGTGAATGCAACTGTGAACGCTGACTGCCGCCAGTCGAATCTCGCCTTCTGACTGCCAACTGGCAACTGGCAACTGGCAAGTGGCAAGTGCTATCTGCCTGGCTGTCGACTGTGGACGGCCGATAGTCGACTGCAGTTGCTAATGTGATTAGCGTAGTTTTGCCAAAGTGTCGAAAGTCCGGCAAGCGCATCAGTTTTCATCATTCACATTAGCTTTGATGGCTTCCGCAATGGGGCTATATCGATAGTCGGTGCATTGAAGATGTCTATATTGGAAAAAGAATGCATCCTAATTAAAGTGTGGAGCGCAGAGGACAGTAATATAATCTTTATAGACTAGACGCGCTCATCTCGAGCCAGTTGTAGCCCAACATTTATTGGCTTTGAGTCTGAAATTAACTGAACCAAAACTGAAACCAAAAACTCATCTAAGAAACATAAATAACTTGTGTCCGTTATAGCTTGAATCTATTATATAACCACATTCTACGTCACCTCATTATGGATGGAATTTATACATCAAAGACTTGGATTCAATTTAAATACAAATTTAATTGTTTCATTAAAGCTTAAAACTATTTATGGCCAACCTGACATTAATGTTGGTTTAGTGCTTGAGTGCTTTAGACCAAGTATATATACCAAGGTCTGAAGTAATTTTTAGCCTCGATCTCTAGCAATTCTGATATTTATATCAGCCTATATTATGCTCATTTATATGCTATGATATTGAAATATTTACTAGAAAATATAATATAATGTGTGTAGGTTGTTAATAAAAATCTCTGTTAAAATTAAAAATTGGGTACAATTTTTTAAAATTAAATTTTAACAACCAAAGAGTTTACTAAAATTCAAATTTAAAATAGAACAGATTTTCTATTTTTCAACATTTTTTTTTTAAATTAATGTAAGGCTAAGATGTAAGGCTATTCAGTTTATATTTTTTTATTTCTTCCTGAATTTTTATTTCGTATAATTATAAACAAATAAGCTGCTTAAGCGTGGCCCTTTTCCTGCTAATTATTGTCGTTGTCTGCTCGACTGTTTGCCCTTTGGATTAGAACTCTCTTTTGTTGCAATTGCTAATGAATGTTAAGTCAAGGGCGCAGCTCGAGTTGTTAAATCATTAAACGAAAATCGTAAGCGTATTCAAGTTTTTGAAGAACTGATAAAAACTTCTGATCGCCAGTTCTAAGTTGAAAATATAGAAATGTAGAATTTAAATAATGATGATAGCTTTGTTTATATGTTCCCTATATATAGATTGATTTCCTCTCCCTAAATAAATAGCCATAAATCAACTTAGAGACTTTTAAAGTGTAACTAAAGTAACATTTTATAAGTATACATTAAAGTGCTTAAAAATAATTACTGAACTAACTATTAAATAAAGTCTTGATATTTGATTCACATTTATCATTATTAAAGTAAGGCATATATAATTTTCGGCACTTGAACTTTATTTGAACTCTATAATATTCGGTATATAATTACGCTAAAGACCCTCTATAATATTTGATAAAATATGAAAATTTATTGTTCTATTCGGCGACAAGCCCAAAATGGTCAACAATTTTGTTGCAGTGTTTGTATCAACGGGCGCTTTGATATGCCATCATTATGGGGGCTCAAAACATTTTACGCTTGGCCTGCCTTTAATTCTGTAAAATATTAACGATCTGACAACTTTAGCAACAACAATAACAATAATAACTGAGTCTTAAACCATTAGCGTAAAGAGATAAAAGGTTAAATTTGTTTAGCGTTAGCTAGAAACTTCCACAAAAAAAAATTATAATAAAAACAACATGCGAAACGAAATTAAGAAGCAAAAATAGTTAGAATAAAGCTATCAAAAAAAAAAAAAAAAAAAAAAAAGTAGTTATAGGAAAAAAGACAAAAACAAAAAAAAAAACTGAGCCGAGGAATCCAAAGACTAATATCACTTCAGACTGAGTAATGGAAAGAATAAATAAAAAAATTAAGAAAACAACAGTAGCACAAATGAGCAAAAACATTTTAACTACTTAATAAGTCATGCGTTATGCAGATGACTCGTTGCTTTTGTTGTTATTGTTGCCGTCTGGTCTCTGAAATAGCACATTTAATATTTTTAATATCTTGTGTTGTGCTTTTTTTTGCTTCGTTGTTGCTTTAATGCACGCCTCGTTAAATGTTTTTTTTTTTCCCTGTTTTCTTTTTGTTTTTGCTTACGTACCATATAAAATCGCGCATACGCAACGTGTGACCCGCTGTCGCGGCTTCCTGCGCCCATTCACCCATTCGCCCGGTGCACTTGAACCCGCTCTGGCCTGGATTTGTTGTCCGTAGTTATTACATCGGTTGTTGCTATGATAGCTTCTCTTGTTAAATGAAATGTTTCACTTGTTGTTAGCTTTAGCCTAAGTAGCAACAGCAGCAACGTCGCTTACTTATAGTTGAAGCAATCATATTTATATCTCCAAGCAGCATTTTACATTATTCGCAATGAGACCTTGACATGTTACACTTATTATTACTTTGCTTTTATTCGTTTCAAACGCATCTTCATAGCAAATTACGCATTGAGATTTAAGCTGAAAAAAAAAAAACACTTTTGTAATAATAATTGCACTATTTTTTGTATTTTCGCTTTCTGGTAAATGATTCAGGTCCGTAATGAATTACTTAATAAATATGCAATAGGAAATGGAATCGGAATATACGTAAATTTGATATACAGTATATATGAGATAGATATAAAAAATAAAAGTAAATCAGAAGTTAAATAAAAGTTAATTAAGGTAATTTAGTTTCGCCTGATAGAGATTTTACAGATTAAGAGATTTTAAGAATTTTATCAAATGAGGTGAGATCTTTTCAATATCGGAAATATTTCGAATTTGTTAAATGACTACATAACCGACTTAAATATACTAAAATTAAAAATATAAAGAAAATTAAAATAATAATTTGAAAAACCATTAAATAATATTATTTTGAATTTTTCTTATAATTTTATAATCTCATTTTGGGGCATAAGCATATACAAATTTTATATATGGGATATTTATTATGTATGTAGTATGTTGTATTAATATATGATCATATGATCTAATAAATAATATTTTTTTAAAGGTAGAACCTTTTTTTTTTAAGCATATTTAGTTCTTTTATAAAAATAAAAGAAATTTGAAGTATTATTAAATTATTAAATAAATAATAACTATCATGAGCTTGAAGCATTTATTGCTGCAAGTATTTTGTATGACTTTCATTGAATGGTGCTGGCCATGCCGATTTTAGCCAACTCAGCTAAACGAAAGACATAATTAAATATAACTAAAATGAACAAGAGGTCGAAAATATTCAAGAACAATTTTTGTTTTCATTGCAAACTGGTTACAATTACTTGAAATTGCTTTGCCGCCTTTAGTGCTAAGACCATAAACGAAAATTGAACACGTGTTATAGCCAAGTGGCCGGCCAGCCGCAAACAAGTTGAGAATTATTTAATTTGTTACGCAATTTAGCTGCACATGTAAATTTACGAAACAGTGAGATTTAAATGCCTTTCAGATTTTATTGGCAGACACGAAAATTGCCAAACAGAAGCCGAGTAAATATTTACGACAATCCATTAAAACGTTTCTTTATTTGATTTCCCCTCTGCAGGTCACTTTGCTGATTAACAATGCTGGCGTTGTGTCTGGACTGCATCTGCTGGAAACGCCAGACCATCTGATCGAGCGTTCGTTCAATGTGAATGTTATAGCACACTTTTGGGTAGGTTGAACTCACACAGCCACACACACACACACATACACACATAGTTGCTATAATAATAACTCGCTGTCATTGCACAGACCGCAAAAGCGTTTCTGCCCAAAATGATCGAGAAGGAACGTGGACATATCGTGACGATCGCCTCTCTGGCTGGCCATGTTGGCATTAGCAAATTGGTCGATTACTGTGCCAGCAAATTTGCAGCGGTTAGTATATTCGTTCGCTGTGCATGCAAATTGCTGAAGAAGTTCTTTTTGACTACAAACTTGTGCACGAAATAATTACAGGTTGGCTTCGATGAGGCGCTGCGTCTGGAGCTGGAAGTTCTCGGACATACGAACATACAAACCACCTGCATTTGCCCGTTCTTCATACAGGCAACGGGCATGTTTGATGATGTGAATGCCAGGTGAGCGCATTTATGGGCGTGGCCGGTGCGGTAATATACTGACAGCTAAACTGTTCTGTTTTGCAGATGGGTGCCCACATTGAATCCCAACGATGTGGCCGATCGCGTCATCTCGGCCATTAGGAAGAACGAGAAGCTGGCCGTCCTTCCCGGTTTCCTCAAGTTTATGCTGTCTCTCAAGTGGTAAGTAAACACACGACCCAAAAAGAAATGTCTTAATGAGGCTACAAAAATGAGGCCAACGCGCCCAAATTCTTCACAGCTGCATATAGCCATATAGAAAGCAATTTGAATTATAATAATTATTATTAGGTAAAGGTATATGGGTATCAAATAGTTAATATTATAATAACATAGAGGAATACTTGATATAGTATTGTATTAATGGTAAGTTATTTAACAGTGTTAAAAATGATTTCTTTTAGGGAATATAGTATTATATAATAGATTTATTTAAAGATATATATATATATATATATATATTTTTTTTTTTTTTATTAATAATTTCTGTTATGATTATATTCAAATAATCAAGAGATACAGAAATAAATCTTGGGTGACTAACTTTATAGTTTTTCTAGTTAACTTAAGAAAAGCTTAAGTCAAAGACCAATCAAATGCAATAATATAATTTCCAAAATTCTTATGAAATTGTCCTGCATGTATATAATGCTCTCATGGTCATGCCCATGCCTACATAACATATGATAACTGATATGAAATTCTTTGTTTTCAATTAGAAGCTTTGAGTAATGAAGGCAAATAGAATAGCATATATACAGATATATGATTTATCTATTACACAGCATTAGTGCCAGAAATGCCATTTAAGTTTCCATCAGGAACCACCCCTGGAAATGTCGACTAAAAGTTATTGTCTAATAATTTGAACTGTTTCCCATTGCATTTTCATTCCCTTCGCTTGCCTTTCGCTTGACTATTCAAACAGTGAATTATTATCCATTTTGGGAAATCAGTGAAACCGAAATATATGGAAATAAATCCCACTCTATTGCCCAGATCTTTGAAACACCCCAGCCATGGTGCATGGCTAATGGCGCCGCTTTAATGTGTTTCACTTTAATAATGCATAACATTTACCTTTACCTTCTACTATGTTGTGTCTCATTTCTGTGGGTTTTTTTCTTTTTCTTCTTGCCTATTCACAGGACCTTCCCTTGGGGTTGTGTGGGCGGCTTGTTGCGTCGCCTGGTGCCCGACGCCTCGCCCCATGGCCTGCCCAGCTCCAGCAGCACTAGCAGCAGCAGCAGCAGCAGCAGCAGCAACAACAACAACATCAAGAGCCATGGCCAGGCGAATGGCAACATCATGTCCTCATCCACCGCCGCGGATATGGCTGCCCTTGATGCTCAGTTGAGCAGCGCCAGTGCCGCGCTGCCAGCGAAATCACCCTCGATGCTCATCCAACGGACACCGTCATTGGGGGAGCGGGTGCTCTGAGGAGCGCCGCCTGCCGGCTTCGCCCTTGCCTGCGCGTATTTGTTGCTTTTGCATTTTACGAGTTATGTGTGTAATTGAATTTGTGTTTTTGGCAATTTTTTCTTTCTCTCTCTCTCTTGTTTTACATTACTCTTTCCCTTTTGCTTTTTTTTTTTTGTTGGCCAAACGAACATTCGCGGTGGATTTGCGGATGGATTTGTGGTCAGGAGCACGTTTAGTAATTTTAAGCTACGAGTCTAGTGATATTACATTTAGTTATGACGGCCCCCCACGGGGCCCTCAGATACGATTAGTTCTTTAAATGCTGATTCGTATTTTCGTACAGAGTAAGATAGAACGAGGCAAACGAGTGTAGTCAGCAGTCAGGTTCTTGAAAGCATTTCCTTTCGGTTGTAGTTTTTCTTAATACACATAAATCGTATAATTCTAAACTAGTTCAATCCGTTATTGCATCGGGTTAAATAAATTTAAATCGACTTATGCCCTAGGTAAACTTTTCTCTTTTAAGCAACTTTATACCTAAAACCTCTATTTTTTCATAAATTTTAATTAGCGATATTTTTAATACTAATTCCACTAAAGCGTAGTTAGGCAAATTATAACTTTGTCGACAGCAAAACAGAAATAATATATATAACAATACAAGTTTAAAAAGTTTCCATGTTAATTAGCTAATACCATTTTGTGTGCATCGAATTACAATTCGAATACATATAAAAATAATTTAAAAAATATATACATATAAAAAAAAGAAAAAACAAATATATGAATATTAAAAAAAAAAAAAAAAAAAAAAAAAAAAACAAATATGCATTTTCATTATAGAATAATAATATAAAAATATTTATGCCGTGAAACTTAATATATGAGAAATATGTAGATATATACACATTATAATTTAAAAAATTATAATTTGTTTACTTATAAAATAAATAAAACACAAAAGTTTGATTGCTTTAATATATTTTGATTATATTTGATGATATGAAAATTTAATCAAAGATACTTTCTTGAATAAAAAATAATTACTTAACAATATTATTAGATTTTTCATTAAAAAATAAAGATAAATATATATAAATTTGTTGTTTATGCCAATTAATATGTAAATTAATTTGTAAATATTTTTTTATATTTGGCACAAAATTATTTGGCAAGTACAAAAGTATTACTAAATACATGTACTAAAATTTGTGGCTTATAAAAAGAAATTTAGAAAATATAAATATCATAAAAACTCTTTGAAAATCGAAATAGAAAAATTGAAATTGAAGTTATTGACTTTTCAAAATAAATTTATATAATACTTTAAACATAATTCATATTTTGGTCAACTCATTTAAGTTATTTAAGCATAGATACCTATGTTAAATTGTTAAATATTCAGAAAAACATGTGAATATTTGATGCCAGACTAAAAAGTGTTAAGGCTCGCTCTATCTTCTCTCATTTCTATCTACATATATGACCTTTGGTGAGCCTTTGGTACGTGTACTATTTACTGTTACATATTAGTCGGCAAACGGATTGTCAGTGTTATTTGTAGAGCTCAGAGCTCTGGGCACTTCGTAACGTTTGATTGGATCTCTGTAGATGGGATTCTCCTGACGGGCACTGTTCTTCTGCTCCTGAACGAAGCGTGCATACTCCCGGGCGTCCTTCATGCGCAGACACCACCAAATCAGGCCAATGATGAACGCACCCAACAACACGGTTAACGCGGCTATGTAGCCAAACATAGCGAATATGTTGACGGGCTCGCAATCATTGGCTTGTATGGCCAAATAGTTGGCATGATCGATCACCTGATAGTTGAAGTAGCTATCGCACTGAATGCCATGCTTGTTGACGATGCGCACCAGGCAGACGGTCTCCGCCTCCAGCTCATTGACAAATAGATGGGTAAAGCGCTCATTGTACTGGGCACTGAAGCAGATCTCATTCACATTCTCACAGGAGCCCATATGTTGCTTCTGTGCGATGAGGCAGATGACGCAGGGCTCGTAGAACTGGCACAGCTTATTGTCCTTCTCGGCATCGATCTCACAGAATTCGCCCAGGTATGGCTCCCGGCACCTGCAGACGCCGCAGTCGCAGCTGCCACGACCTGAGCAGATCTCTCCCGTCGGTCCAGTGCACTCGTCCGTGGAATCCTTGCAGTTGCACTGCGTGCCCGACCAGCCGTATTTACAGACACACTGACCGCAGTAGCACTCGGCGCGCTCCTCATCGCAATCGATGCACTCGAGGCACTCACAGAAGTTGCCCGTATAGCCGGGGTCACAAAGACAGCTGCCGCACTCGCAGTCGCCGTGATTCGAACAGACTTCAGTGGCCAGGCTGTTGCCCTCCTTGTCGAGGGGCTGACGACACGTCCTGAGCAGCGCCTCGTTAGTTGTTGCATTCGACGGATCCGTCGGACAGTTGCAAAAGGTGCCCGTCCAGCCCTCGTCACAAACGCACATCCCGCAGTTCAAATAGCCCTGATTGTCGCACTGAAAACGGGCGTATTCATCATCCGGCTCGGGTGGCTCCTCGCATGGACACGGGCGCTGCAGCTCCACATCGATTTCCATGTACTCGCTCAGCGATGCCTCCTCCACGCGAATTTTGTGATTCTGCAGGGGATATGTGAAGTCAGTTCTCACAATATTCATATTCAATTAGAGGCCAATACTCAACCAATACGCCGTTCTCGGGATAATCCGTGAGGGTTACGTCCAGAAAAAACTCTATTTCCTTGCCTTGGCTCACATTGTTGCAATAATTGCGTTTACGCAAGCTGGGAAATTGTCCAGCACAATCCGTGAAATATTCCACCTTTATAAAGTCCGGACTGTTGTCTCCAAACTGCGTCCGCTTTATGAAGCTCTCATAACTGAAGGAGAAGGAGAGATCGAAAAAGTGAGATAAGAAGAGGGACTTAGATTAGATGTAGAGAAAAACATGATTCGATATGTAGAGTAGGAGGAAAATATATATAGAGAGATAATATAAACCGAAATTCTATAATATATATATATATATATACCACTTTATACCAACTCACTTAAAATTTCTGACAGCCCTTCACTTACCTCTTTTTGATCAGCTCCAAGATATTGGACGAATCGGCGCTCAATATTTCGACGTTGCTAATCTCCTGCATGAGTCCGCTCAGCTCCTTGTAGGTGCTGAACACCTCCTCGGTAACGGCAAAGATGACATTGATCTTGCGCCTTAAGAGCTCCCGGTAGATCTCCTCCAGCGACGGATAGTCATAGGTCAGCGAGCCCGTATACTCGCCCGCTTTATTCAGATGGCACTGGCGATCGTTGCGCTGCGTAACGCCCGCCAAGAGGCCGTCGCCAGCGAAGTGCATGAAGCCGTCGGTGACCAGGATGACGACTTTGCGGGCCTGTTGCTTCCAGCCGATTTGCTTGGGGCAGACAATCACCTGCATGAGGGCATCCAGGCCGCCCTCCAGATTGTCCAGATTCCCCGTTATCTTGCTAGCCGCCACAGCCGCCGTGAATGCCTCCACATCTTCCGTTAGCTTCAGATGGTGCCGATAGTCGTAGGTGGGCTCACAGCTTTCCCGCTCGGCGGCACACGGATTCTTCCGCAGCTGCGGCATTATCATCGGCAACTCCGGCTTGTCCGCAAAGGAGCCAAAGCCCAACCGATAGTTGTCCGTTAGACTGCGCAGCGTTTGGGTCAACTCGGCGCCGAGCTTCTCCAGTGTATCCTTATCGTCGCGCATCGTCCAGGTGAGATCCATCAGCACGTACAGGTCGAGCGGATTGTTGCCTGCCGCTCGATAGCTCAGCTTGATGCGCTGCGTGTTGTCTGTCCCAAAAAAGATATTCGTATTGGCATTCTGATTGGGGTTGGGCCAAACGGGGATTTACGGCTGGGCCGTAAACTCAAGGGGTTAAGTGCGGCATTTACGAGCTGTTTTATAGGCTGCAATGCCATTGTAAGACAACGGACAACAGACAACAGACAACAGACGAGAGTAGTTAAACAATGCTCCACATTCCATTACACTATCCATCACACTGCACTACACTCCACTCCAGTTTATAACCCTTCATTAGTGAACGCAGTTGTTCGCACCCAAGTAAACTGTTTGCCTTCCTTTAATCCTTAAACCCCACAATTTTACCAAAGCATAATTACAACTCATTTTATTGTTGTTTTTCCTTTTGCATTAAGAGTGTAATGGGCGTCGATTGAATGATCTCTCGTCCTGTCTCATTTTGATAATAAGCAGCTGCAGCTATCTGTCCCTAGTTAATCATAAGCTTAACTCAAGTGTATCATGAGCTAAATTTATCATGCAGTTATCGCCTTTTTTCCCCTTCCCTAGCCTAGGGAACTTTTAACAACGTTTATTTGAAAACTAGACTAGGATGGTTAAAAACAAGAAAACAGACGTGTTTGTTTAATAAGTGAGTAATCAATAGAATTGATATGACAGCTCTCCATTTCACACACTCACGCTCCAACTGGTGTGACATCCAGTCAGAAATGATTCATTTAATTCCAATTTCCAAATATTCCTATGTTAATTATGAATCAATCTCTAATGTAGTATATGTTTACTCTCTCTCTCTCTCTCTCTCTCACTCATTCTGTTTAGCTTTACTCTATAATATTCTCCGACTGCAGATTAGGTCCATAAGAACCGCTGTATGTAACCAACGAGGGTTCAATAAACTCTCTAAATTCCCACGCTGCCGTATAATTCCTCTAACTTAGATATGGTGATATGGTGATAAGCGACTCACAAGAAAAACACACACACGCACACACATAAATACACTCAAACACACCCTGTGTTAAACAAGCAAAGCAAACAAAATGCGATGACACACATTTCCAGCTAACAAATATAACATGTAGCATAATTTAACCACTCACGAAGAGAATGAGATAGAGAGAGAGAGAGAGAGAGAGAGAGAGAGTGATAAGATACGCACCTTTGACCAATTTGAGAAATACGCGCTGCGGCGTCACCTGCACCGCCTGCTCGTCTCGCGCTTCATAGTCCTTGAGCGGTCGGTGTTGCAGCAGTTCCAGCTGCGGCTGATTCTCATAGATACTCGCTTCGCTGCAGTTCAGGCTGAGCAGAGTTTCGCGCGACAGGCAGCGCGAACGCATATCATAGGTCTGCCAAAGAGAGCAAATATTAGTTAAGGAGTGAGAGGGAGACGTATAGTGGGCGCACCTTGTCCGTGCACCAGGCACAGTTAAGATGTGTGCTAAGACAACGATCGCAGCTGTCTATTGCATGCTTGCATTGCTCATCTGCACAAAGAGTGAGAGAGAGAGAGAGAGAGAGAGAGTTAATGAAGTGCAAGAGAGTTTGTAAAAACGATTTGCTTGTATAATAGTTGCCGAACCTATTGTTATGGACGCCACGAGAGCCAAGCATAATAGGTGGAAGTAGAGCAGCGGCCATTTGCCGCAATGCGATAACATTGTGCGCTCTCTCACTTGCTCTCTGGAATTGTGCAATTCGCCAATGTTTTCGTTCACACTGCTAACGCTTTGGCCCGTAGAACTTACCGGTATCAAAACCGAACGGCGACTAATCACATTTTTTCACAGACTCAAAAACGACTACAACAACTTTCGCCTTTGTTAATAATTTTATGTATGTGTGCACGTGTGTTATCTTATCAATGAAATAATACTATTAATACTATTTAGTCGATAAAATGTTTTTAAAAATATATAAGATACGGCAGTTAGAATGTGAGCGAGACAAAACATAAACAGAGGGAATTCAAAAATAATGAAAGAAAAATAGAGAGCGAGAGCGCAAGTCAGAGAGCGCAAAACGTGATCCAGACTTTTGATATTATTAATAGCTATTTGCAACTTCACTTTCGTTTCGCACAATTTTTCTTATCACAATGCCATGAGGATGTAAATGTATATATTTCTCTTTCTTTGTATATATTTATTTTTGCATTTATAGTTTATCATTTTTAAAATGTTGACATGAGATGCATATGAAGTGTTTAATTTTTTTAAGTGTGTTTTTCTTTTAGTATGTTATTCTAATTATTTCCAAATTATTGTCGTTTCTTTAATTCAGAGCCGTTAATGAGTCAACGCATTTGCAAATCTATCAGCTTTTGTCAACGATTGCTCAGTAAATTTAAAAAGAATTGAAATATAACATTACCAAAAAATTGACAGAAATGTTATGCCAACTTAATCAGCTTATTTTTTTTTTTAAACAAAAATGCAATGCGCAATCAATATCAAATCGAAATATTATTATATTATTTTTTAAAGTAAAAATGTAAAATTTAGGCATTCGCCTAATAGGAAATACTCAAATGGGCAGCATTAAGGGATTCTGTGCAACCATGGAAAACTAGTATTTTTTGCTCTTAATGAAATACTAAAGCTGTCCACATATGGTCACACAATGTGAGAGCGGGCAACTGTTAAATTAACAGACGCTCAGAGAGCATAACAGCCGTGTGAGCGCTGGACAAAAAAAGGCTAAGCGGAAATTGTATGAATTAATATAGAAATGATATATATTATAAATCTAAAATCTTAATATAAATTGCATAATATTTTGAAATTTATTAGTTGTTAAGCTGTCATATGTTTAGGGGTTTTAAAAAATGGCAATCGAAACAGACAGCATTTTACGGCTAAAATCACGATTACGAAGTGTCGACTTACTTAACAGTGGAGTTAAGAGCTCAGCGCTGTTATCCATTTTGAGTATAACAGTCTCAATTACATTTATTTAACAGTCTGGAATTGACGGCGATTTCGAACGGTTGTGTACGCGCGTGTACCGGCCGCATCACAGAAATTTTGTTGTGTTTTTGCGGAATATCGAAAAACAAAAAAAATTTCTAATGTTTATTAAATGAGTGTCGCATTGCTTGCAACAATTACTCCTTAAGAGTGTGTGCAAAGTGAGAGTGTCTATTTAATCGTCAGCTGTAAATTACGGTGAGTGTCGCGCAAAAAAAGGAAATAAATAAATAAAATAAAAATAAAAAATTTACGCGGCGACTGGCGGTTGGTATTTTGTGGAATAAAGAAAAGGTGAAATGTCATTAATAAAAGAAGGAAATTGTAGTCAAAGTGGAATACATAACAACTAAATACATAATACACATATAAAAATTAAAGGAGGCAGAGCACGGCGACAGCGACGGCGATGTCGGCAGCCACTGAGACGCACAGTATACAGTGAAAAAGGAATTCCAAAATTGTTTTTTTTTTTGTGTACTACAGTAAAGTTGTTGCCGCCGACGCCGCTGCCGCCGACGCTGACTTACGCCTGTTGTTGTTGTTTGGCTAGGCTAAGACTAGCTGCCGCTTGCAGCGACGCTAGCGTCGGCATTGCTTTGTTTATTGTTCACTGTGTGTGCGTGTGTATGTGTGCGCGCACATTGTTGTTGCTGTTCTTGTTGTTGCTGTGTAATTGTGAATTGGGTAAAAACCAAAACGAAAGCAAGTAAATTGCCCATTTTCTATTTTCCATTTTCCATTTTCCGTTTTGTGTGGCCAAATTGCAAAAAGTGAAAAGTTTAATTTACTAAATAAGCGGCTGATTCGCAGTCGTCACCCACACACACAGATACACGCACACGTATACGCACGTTGGGCAAGAAGTAGGGAACGAAGAAGAGGAGGACTAGCGGCTGTTGTTGTTGTCTGTGTCTATTTTTTGCAATTTCTGCCTGCACACGCTCATTCGTGTTGGATTATTGGATTATACTCCGCCAGCAGCGTCGACGCGCCGCCAATAACGGCACTTCGGACACACACACACACAGATACACATACGCACGCATAGAGGCGGCAACACCGACGCGTCGGATTATTGTCCTTCTGAAGGAACGTGCTTTTAACGGTACAACTCAAACACCCGCCCATCTGCCAAAAGTGACAAAAGTCTCGGCGAGACACAAGAGCGAACGAGATAGATAGCGAGCGCGAGTCAAGGAGCAGCAGCACCAGCAGGAGCAGGACGCAGGAGCAAGTCAAACTATTCAAAGGTATGTAAAAAAGTTAACAAATAGAAATAGAAAGAAAAAAAAACTGTAATTACTGCAATTGCGGTTATGATTTCATGGGGTTTTCCAAAGGGGGTTTTCCCTGTTTCCAACATGTGCTGGAATCCTGATAGCAATGACTTACTTAAAGGCCAGAAATATTCGTTTGTCTTGGTTTGCTGCAATTAACAGGAGTAAATAACATTATTTAAAGTGGGAAAATTAGGGAAAATCAAATGACATTAGATTTGGCCTAAGCTGTATAGAAATGTGTCTAATATTTCAATCCACAGGAAATATAATTAAATTAATATTGTGAATAGAAATTTGGAAAAATTGATATAGACCAAACCAACTAAATACATTTTTCAACATTTTCATTCACATTTTTAATTTAATTTGAATTTCTGATTGAATCTTATTTCATTACAAGAATTAAACAAAATTAATATACCAAATATAAATATAATACAAAATACTCAGTAGGTTCTCAAAGATATTTATATTTATTTGTTCAATGAAATATTTTTGATTGCCCAATAAATGTTTCGCCTACAATTTCATTTTTTCTCAGTTGATTTTAATGAATCGTTTAGCTGCGCTGCATTGGTATGTGAGATGTTTGTCTTTTTTATTTTGGCTGGTTTTTCCAGGCAAATCGAGGCGACGCGACGCGACGCAACTGACTGACAATTTATTCTAATGTTCGATTCCGATTTTTATCGGTTGCACATAAATTTGTTTGGTGTGCGCGGCTTGCGTAAAATGTTCTGTGGCAACTTTGGTGATTTATTGCCTGTCGATTGTCGTCGGAGCAGACCCAACCCGGAGCGGAGCGGAGCTGCTCCGCCAGATCCACAACCACAGCGACAGCTACAGCCAGGCCAATAGGCCTGCAACTAATGTACGCGTCGCCGTCATCGTCGCCGCACAGATGCCGCGGATTAGATAAAAAAACGCGCGACGGCGCTCTCAATTTATGCGTGTTGCCAGAGAGTTGCCAATTGGCAATTGCAGCAGTTTGGCACCCGCCCCCGCCCCCGTCCACCTCGGCCATAACGTGGCTGAAAAGAAACTCAAACTGAAACTTGTCGCGCCCACTAAATCTTGGCCATGTAGCCAGCCGTCCAGTCGGCGGACGGTTCGTCTTGCTGCAGTTCCCGTCTATCATTTGAAATCATGTTCGAGCGATAAGAAATTATACGGCCGTGGCCATAATTTACGTGATTTGCATGGCTAAAAGCGTTCGCTCGCTCTCTCACACTCTCTCTGTCTATTAGAGAAACGCTGTGATACAGCAACATTTTTGACATTTATTGTTTTTAATAGTGAGGCCCAAACAATTTTATGACCAAAAAAAAGAAGGAAAAATCAAGAATGTATCCACCTCACCTCCTGCTCCACCCACCTTTAGAGGCGATAAAAAACTTTATGCACCAACATGATCGAAGAGCTGCCTTTAGAGTTTAAAAAAAAAACTCGTAAATATTAAATGAGTGAAGAAATAGTAAATCGACTACTTTTCAAATTAGCAGAGACACATACGCACAGTGGTTGAAAATTGTTAATCTATTAACATATAGTGCAGTATAGTAAATCGAAATAAAATTCGATTAAACTAAAGGCAACAAAAAAATATTTATTGTAAGAAGTCAATTTCACTTCTAAAAAAAAGAGTAAAAAGACGTTTATTTAAATTTTCTTAGAACTTATTTTTTTTATGCTGATAATTCCGATAATAATAAAATAATAATTAATTAAAAATATAAGAATATTCAGGTTAATTATATGATAATTGAAAAGTTATGTCTTCTTGCTAAATATTACTGACTTAATTTAAAATATTAAGCTATTCTCAATAAAAATACTTGTATTTAATATTAAAAAATTGAATAAACTAGCTTAGTTTCAATTAGAAATGTCCTCATCTCTACACACACTTGTCACACTGTGCGACGTCATAAAATGAAAAGTGTCATAAAAATTAGTCAAGAAATCACGCGCTGCCTTTTCCTCCATACATTTGTTCATTTTTATTTGCTGCAGTTGGACTTTGTGTTTTGTATGTGTTTTGTTTTTTTGTCGCTGTCGCTTGGTTTATTTGGTTGTTTGGCTCTGACACATTTGTATGCTAATGTTGCGGCCGTTGAAGGTGCAAGCGCTTCCGGCGGCTAAGCGCTTAGAACTTCACTCAAGTCAACTCAACTCAAGTCGACTCGACTCGACTCGATTTAACTCAACTCGTCTTCAGCCTCAATGGGGGGATCTATCTATCACTTTGATGAGGGTCGCCTGGCAGCAGGCGTAGAGCAAAGGTCATTGGCTTATTTACGAATTATCTGAATGAATATGGCATATTAAAGTGATTTTTTATTATAGCTGATTTATACATTTTTTTTTTTTTTTTTTTTTTTTTGCCTCTGCATTGATTTGTTGATTAAGGACTTTAATGTCAACAGTGAATCATATAATTCAATTTGAAAATATATTCATGACATCCGATTGCAATTTAGATAACAAAGAAATAAACTAGTTTTGTTGATTTGTAATTAATATATAAATCATTAATAACCTGAAGGCTGCAAATTCATACAAAAATAATTATTAAATAAATCAAATAAATAAATAAAAAAAAAATAAAATAAATAAAAAGTTGATAAGCTTTTTATGAAATGTTTTCATTTTGAATAGTGAAAATAATTATATTAACTTTTTTTTTTTTTTTAATAAATTAGGTGGATTAAAAAGGAAATAAAAACTAGCTCAGATTAAGGAGGAACTATATATTTAACTATGCAAACAATTAAATAAATAAGAATATTCAAATATTAATATTCATCTCTAGTTATTAATAGATTTTCTTAAATTCTTAAACTAATTCGGTTTAAAAGCAATCGAAAATATTCTTCAGCCAAAAGTAATTTTATGTAAAGTGAAGCATTTTGTTTGCTTTCAATGCGTAATCAAAAATGAAACGATTAAAAAAACATAAAACTTGAAAAAGTTTGAAAGATACTTGAAGTCTTTATACATCCGAGGCACATCTGGCAGCTCTTGCGATGCGTTTTGAATACAATTGAAAGTGCAGCTAAGAGTTGAGAGTGAAGGAGAGCTATAAATAGTTTAGTTTTTAGGCTGCTTATCGCTGACTTCCTGCTACACGAAGATATCTCTCTATCTATCTATAACTCAACCTAAACAAATAGCGAAGCAACGCTGTCTGAATGCCCTCGACTTTCTCCTGGCTAACGCCTAGGCTAATAACAAAGATATCAATGGCAGAGGGCGATGAGTAACCTTGAACCCGCCACCCGGTGCCAAGGCTCATTTCCGGCTGAGTGTGACTCAATACAGATACCACAAAAAGAACAAATAGAGAATAAGTAGAAGAAGAAGCAGAAGAAGAATAAGAACAGACGTGAATCCACAATGCCACAAAGTCAATAAATACGCCAAAAAATTATCACTTGCTCGTTAGCACAAACACAAACAGACACACACAGACACAAGAAATACTAGAAAAACTAGATGTTAACAAAGGCAAAAACTATTTCAAACGTTAAAGAAAAAGAAAGTCGAACAAAAATTTCATTCAGCGCTGATGGACACTTAACATCCCTATCAATGCCCGCCCTACCTGACCTCACTCTGCCATTGTCTATCTCTCTCGCTTCCTCTCTCTCTCTCTCTCTCTCTCTTTCTCTGTCTCTGTCTGTGTCACAACTGTCCCTCGCACATTTCCCAGCAATTATGCGCTGGCCAAACAAAAGTCATTAAATTGCGGAAATCGGGTCAGCAAACGACAAAACCGAAGCGACAAACTCTACAAAGAGCTGACCAAGCGAGAGCTGAAAAGAAACTAGTGTGAGAGAGAGCCAGAGACTGGGAAACTAAACTGAAAAATTAAGCAGCCAAAAATTATAACTAAATTGTGAATTTATTTACATTTAATTGCGTCTAAATTACTAAAACAAAAACAAAAACATTCAACGGGGATCCGTTAACAGAAAAAATTGGACTTTAATGTTTGTCCTCCTCCTGCTC